TTTCAATTGATTTGTAAGGAAGTAAGGCTATGCAAATGGTTGATTCAATTAATTCGGTCGTAAAAATTGAATAATCGACTTAATCTATTATAAAAATCAAATTGATTGATGTATATAAGCAAAATTAAAAAAATTGAACTGAATTAAAGTGATTAGTTTCGATCAGTTTTCTTGGATTAGTCGGTTTTAGTTTTTATTTCTTGCATTAAACTTTGAGGAGGCATTTGGTTCACGAAATTGTAGATTTCGAAAAAAAGTATGATCTTGAAAAAATGCAATACTTGGGGTTTTCTTTCAATTTTAGGGTATTTCATGTTCAGATTCACTTGTTTGATTGAGAAAATTTACATATATTACATCTTAAATAATTACTATAATCTTCTTGGTATAATAATAGTTTTAATAAATAATCTAATTTTTAATTAAAATGGATTATTGAAGATCTTTTTTGTCAAAAAAGCTTTTAATAATCCCTTCAAAGTCTAATTTTTTTTAGGAGATTATTAAATGTATTTTTTTGTCAAAAATACTTTCATTAATCCCGTTAAATTTCAAATTTTTTATTGGATTATTGAAGGTGTTTTTGGTAAAAAATGTCTTCACTAATCACATCCAATTTGTTGAGAGGATTATTGAAGGCGTTTTAAAGTTTTTTACCGAAGGCGTTTTAAAGTTTTTTATCAAAAACGTCTTTAATAATCCTGTCCAAATTTTTTGACATATTATTGAAGCTATGTTTGACTAAAAACGCCTTCAATGATATTGTCAAAATCCAAATGTAATTCATGTAAGGATAGTTAAGTACTCAAATACTCAACACATAATCCAATAAATTCAAACATTGTTAATATACTCAAATAAAAATAAAAATACAATATAACATAAACACAAACTTAAATAACACTAACAATCCATAATTTATTTAACACTAGCTATCTGTAACAGTCCATAAACACAAACTTGAATACAAACTTAAGTTATCTAACACAACAGTCCGTAACATTCTAGAAACACAAACTAATAGTCCAAAAACCATGATAAAGTAACATATTCATTTTTCCTACATTCTCCCAATACTTGTGGTAATTATCCTTCATTTCTTAGCCATTATACTTAACTCAACATCAACATTCAATTGTCAATTTTGCAAAATACCATAAACACCACAAATATCTTCAAGAAAATTATTAGTGGTAACATACAAAGAACTTGAAACTCTAATTGTAAGGTTGTAAAATTTTTGCAAAAAAAGGCATAATTTTCTAACACTTGCTCAATCATTTTGATTGGGCACCCCATCTCCCAACACAAGCTCACTTTTATAGTAAGGATCAACATCATCAAAAGCTTCGAAGCCCTTTCAAACTTTTAAGCTTATTCATCATCAAGTAAATGAAATTCCATTTAGTGTAAACATCCAAGTATAACAAGCTCTTACTTTGAATATGTTCATTAGCAACATATTCTTTAAACTGGGCCAACCTAGAGGGTGATTGTCTTACATATCTAGTAGCCCCTCTAACACGAGCAATCGAATCACTCATTTTCTTTAACTCATCACTCATTATAAGGTTAACAATATGAGCAATGCATCTCAAATGAAGATATTTGCCTCTTACAATACTAGTTTCTGTATTGTTAAGTTTTTTTCTCAAGTATGCGACTGCAACATCATTATAACTAACATTATCAATTGTAATAGCAAAAACTTTATCAATATGAGCAATGCGTATCAAATGAAGATATTTGCTTCTTACAATACTAGTTCCTGCATTGTTAAGTTTTTTTTCTCAAGTATGAGATTGCAACATCATTATAACTAGCATTATCAATTGTAATAGCAAAAACCTTATCAATCATTCAATCACATAAACATTTTTCAATTGCTTTACCAATAGCCTTACCTTTATGACTAAAAATAGGATAAAAAGTTTAATAACTTTTTGTTAAGTTTTCAATCATTGTCAATAAAGTGAGTTGTGAAACACATATAATGGACTCTTTGCAATGAGATCTAGTGTCAGTGGTAAGAGCTACTCTTGTAAAAGATAATTTCAAGAATTGCCTTAAGAAAGCTTTTTCATCCACATAAATTTGATAACAATCCCTAGCAATTGTCCATCGTGATGATACATGAAATTTAGAACATGTAATAGCCATACAACACCTATATTCTTTCGCTTCCACAAATTTGAAAGGTAACTCATCTATAATTATCATCTCAATCACATCTCTCCTAATATCATCTTAATCAAACTTTCAAGTACCTAAAAACTTATCTCTTTTCGAGCTAAAAACCAATTTTGGTTGGGAAAGATCACCACTACCACGAGAAAATTTCATATAAGAACCCATATGATTCTTTAATGCAAATGTCCCATTTTTTTTAAGGTGAGCATAAAATTCTCTATCACAATAATTGTATCTAGCTTTGAGTTCGCCTTTGTCATTAAATTTGGTGAAGTGGTCCCATACCTCTGACCATGTGTTTGGTCATCTCTTTTTCAATTTAACAGCCACAACTTCATTTTTTATTCCATGTGTATCTACTTGAAGGATTGATTAAGCATCCTCTTGTGTAAGATTTCGATTAGTCATTTCATTTAACATCTTTAAAAAAAAAATTAAGCTATATACAAACATAAGAAAATAAATCACATTCAATAACCATTTACAAATGAAAAAATTACACAGATTTCAAACAAATCAGCAAGGTCAATTGTCAAATAACATTGCTTAAGCAACAAAAAAAATACCCAGATCCAAAAGTTATGAAAAAGAAAAAAAAAGTGATTACAAAAGAAAGAAAGGTTTTTAGTGTCACAGAAGACAAGAGAGTTGAGGAAGATAGAAGACTATGAGAGGAATTGAAAAAGGAAAGAGGCGGAATCGAGGAGGCATAGAGCGATGCAGCAGGCAATAGCAAAGACACGACAGTTTAGAGTGTTAAGAGTGAAATGAGAGACAAAAAAGAGAAAGGAAGATGTGCAGTAAATCAAAGTGTTGATTGTTGAGATTGGTGTGCAGCAGGTTTAAGATCGATAAATTAGGGAAGGAAAATCGTAAAATCTGAGAGAAAATAGGGGATAAAAAAATGTAGATAGTGTAAATGAGCGGCTAGGGTTCGACAACTAAAAGAAAAATCTAAAAAATAGGTGATTATAAAATTTTATTTAATTATTTATCTTATATTAAATCGATTATTTCAATTATTTCAATTTCAAATTTAGAACTTTTAAATCGACCGCTTTAACCATTTAAACCGAAAGTATAACTAAAATATCCAAATAACCCAAATTAACCAACTTGATTTACCCAAAAAATTTGATTTTTTGGTTTTTTTTTTATTTTAACCGATTTTTGCTCTTCCTTGTAAGGAAGTGCATTTTGGAAGGTAGAAAAGAAAAAGCTAAAAAAGAAAAAAATAATAATAATAAAGAAGGAATTGTCAACCCGATTCATGACCCAATTATAAACGGTTCGGATCCAAATAATTGTGTTACAAGATTTGGGTCTAGCCCAAAAATTGTTAGGTGTAATTTCTTCTATGATTTTGAACTTATTTTTCTTTGTTTTTATGTGTCGTTTTCTATTTAAAAATTGATTAAAAAAAAAAAAAAGGGTGTTGCGACATGTCCGCACCGACTCGCCATTGAACATTTTTTATCTAATAATTAATTGTAGGTATTTTTCTTTACAAGTTATGTTGTAGAGACAAAAATCTTATTATAATTTAATTTTTTATTTTTATTTAAAAATTATAAATAATAAATTTTATTATTATAAAATAAATTAATAAATAAATAAAATTTAATTATTTATTAACAAAATTATTATTTAACATAAAAAAATTGAATAAAATTTTAATTATTTATAAATAATTAAAATTTTTTATCACATATAATTTTTAATATAATATTTAATGATCATTTTTTATTCTTGTTATAGTTGATTCATGATCACTACTATTTTTATAATCAAACATATATTTTATCATTAATTTTAATTTTATTATTATAATAATCAATCTTATATCTATTATTATTTTAATTTATTAAAATCAATCTCACGCAAACCCTAAGTCAGACTTTGAATTTTAAAATCTCTGTAATGCATCTTAAAACAACATTATTTAATGATGTTCCAAGTCAGACATAAATTCACTAGTTACTAATTTACATGAGATCTTGTCGTGGGGTAGCTACTTAACACTTCCCATTACAATATGTTTTCTTTCATTAACATTTGATTAATTAAATGATATATTACGAATAAAATACTCTTTTCCCTTTCCTTAAAAATACTCCACCCAAAAATAAATAAATAAATAAAACCTCCCACTCCCAATTTATTTTCACCCATATCCTCTCGTTGAAAAAATAAAAGATTGAATCCATTATTATCTTTTACAAAGGACAATATCATATTGGCATGAAAACGGATTATATCATAATGATCGATTAATGGATAATATTATAAATAAATTTAATAATTTAAAATATGATATAAAAATAAAATATAAAAATAATACGATTTAAAATTTTAATAATAATATATATTTAACAAAATAAAAAATTTTATATTTTTGAATTTGAAACGAATTTTAATACATAATTTTCATATAAAATACGATATAAATATATAAATTTTAATATTTTATACTATATAAATATATGAATTATCATATTTAATTATAAATTTTATAAACTCAAATTGAATTAAAATATTTAACATTTATTTTGAATCAAACTAAATAAAAAATATCAAATCGAGCAAACATGAATACTATAATTTTGATTTTTTTTCCTTTCTTTTTTTCTCATTCCATCAAACTAAATGATCATTGAGGAAAAATTCCATGTTAATAATGTGTTAAAAGCCTATAAAAAGTGGAATATTCTTGTTACAGTTAAGAATCAAAGGGACAGTTAAAATTAGCCCACAAAGTGATTATTTCTTGTCTGAAGGGCCTCAACCAGGGCATAGCCAGCTGTAACAAGAGGACGCTAAACGACCCTATCGTTTTTAATAAACAGAAAAAACCACCTGGCCACCTCTCCCTGTTTTCTATCAATTCAAGAAAACCACCCTTTTCAAAACCTTCATTGTCTGCTTCCCCCTTTCCTTGCTGACCTCAACAACGACAACAAGAACGACAACAATAACAAAGTGACAAGAATTCTGAAATGGTATGTGGAAATTTGGAATCTTTGTCTTGTTTGGGACTTTGGGTTTTGTTTCTTTTTCAATTTTCTGTCTTGTAATGATTTTCTTTTTTTTTTTTTTTTTTGAAAGGTGATGTTGGCTGGATTTCATAATGACCCTGAATTTGCCAATGTGGATTCAAGTGAAAACGAGTCTGTTCCTTATAAAGGAACGATTTTGAGAACGAAACCTGGTTATGTTTCTTCAACAATGGGGGAGCCTTGCGTTTCATGTACCACCTTCAACATCCTGGCTCCTATCTACAAGCGATTGGATCAGCAGGTGATTTCTTTTTATTTTATTTTATTTTATTGATATCTTTTCATTTGTAAATTTTGCTAATTTCATTCTTTTATGATGATGATGATGCAACAGAATCAGAGCGTACGAGAAAGTGATTTTAGAGCATTTTGGTTAGCTAGAAATGAGAGAATTGTTGATTGGTTGCTTTATGAAAGGTCTTCCATTATCTGTCTCCAGGTGGGTTTCATGGCCCCTTTTCTTCTATTGCTATGAATTGTTAAAGAAATAACTCTTTCCTTCCGTTAAGAGCCTTAATTTCAACTCCGATAACATAAGCCTTTTTTAATGTGTATTTGTTTCGTTCAATGATTAGGAATTTTGGGTTGGAAATGAAGAATTGGTGCATATGTATGAAGAAAGGCTTGGTGCTGCAGGTTATGATACCTTCAAGCTTGCAAGAACTAACAACCGAGGAGATGGTACATGCTCTTTAACTGATTTCTTCTCATAGTGGAGACAAATTTTAAGATTTTGTTTATAACTTGGGTAGATAGGGATGTTCTTGTATGATTTCTAGATTATGAATGTACAAGTAAATTAAGCTTAAATCAAGTCAAAATCATTAGAGAATTTGAGAGTTTGACACAAAATTTTGTAATATTACATGTAGTTTGATTATGGGTGTAAATGAACCAAACATGAAAGAACTTTGCTTTGTTTGTGATCTATTCGTTTAATTAATGAACCCTAAATGTTGTTCGTAATTGTTTATTAAACTTAATAAATGAATAGAAACTGAGTCTGTTCATGAGTTGTTTGCTAAACAATCTATTTGTTTACACCTTGTATGTAAGCGAGCAAATTGAATATAAATGAATTCTGCTATATTCATGATTTGTTTGTTTAACTAATGAACTCTGAAATATTATTCGTGATCATTTGTTAAGTTTAATAAACAAATATAAACGAACAAAAACCAAGCTTGGTTACAAACTGTGCGTTGAACGTTTTGTTCATTTACACCTCTAAGTATGATGCAGCTGAGTGCTCCTCAGTTTGGCAGTTCATGTCTAACTTGTCCACTTTCAGTATGCAAGTCTGCCATTTGGCTTGGCTCCGATAGAATAGGGTAAACAGAAGAAGGACCTGTTTCACACCTTTTGGTGGCTGAACTGTTTCCTTTATAATTCACATATTTTCCCTTTTGCTCTATCTTTTTGTCTGCAAGCAACTGGGAAGAGGATGGTCATATCTTTTGGGCTGTTTATAGTCCTTATAATGTGTGTAGACCATCCTGCAAGATTTAAATTCAATTACTTTAGTCCTTGATGTTTTTGTTGTTTTGATTATATTTCTCTTTAACTACTTATTCGTCTTAGCTTGAGAACTTATATTATTTTACTTCCACAGGTTTGCTGACAGCTATCCACAAGGAGTATTTCAGGGTTTTGAATCATAGAGAGTTGCTCTTCAATGACTTTGGAGACCGTGTTGCTCAATTGTTACATGTTCAAGCAGTTGTCCCTTTGTCACAAAATCGGAATGACATTGTTGAACAAGAAATTCTTATTGTGAACACCCACCTGCTATTTCCTCATGATTCCAGTTTATCTATTGTAAGACTGCACCAGGTAGATATTGTCTTCTTCTGAAATATATCCATAAATGACTCCGGTCTCTGTTTCATTTTTTTTTTCCTTTTCCTAGTTAACAGACTATTGGTATTCTTCTCTTAGGTTTACAAAATACTACAATATCTAGAAACATATCAGAGAGAAAACAAACTCAACCAGATGCCTGTCATACTCTGCGGGTAAGCATTATCCTTGGTTTTATTGTTTGATGATCTCCTCACCAGAGGGCATTCTAATTTGTTTTTTTTTATTTTAATGTTATTGATTTTGCAGTGACTGGAATGGAAGCAAGCGTGGGCATGTTTACAAGTTCCTTAGGTCCCAGGGATTTGTATCATCATATGATATTGCTCATCAATATACAGATGGCGATGCAGATGCTCACAAGGTAAGCATATTCAGTTTCAGATTTTAGCATCTTTTTATCAATCTGCAATGCTTACTGATTAAATATGTTGGCTCTGCTCTTGTGTATCCCACAGTGGGTTAGCCATCTAAATCATAGGGGAAACATCTGTGGTGTCGATTTCATATGGCTTCGTAATCCTAATAAGTCACAAAAACCATTGAAGATAAGTTGGGCTGAAGCAGCTTTTGGTATAATAAAGGTTAGTTCAGCATTTTTAATACTAAACTGTTTGTTGTACCAAATTCTCTTTATTTCTAGCTCTCATTATAGTTTATTTAGTTCTTAAAAAATCAGTATTTAAAATTTTACTTCCTCTCTCCATGGAAAAAGCCATTACACATTTAGATTGGGGCGGGCCATATCTGATGCTTGGCTTAATTTCTGATAAGTTAATGCATTATAACTACTTGTCAAATCTGCAATCCATGCTTCATATGGCGATGAAAGTTTCAAGTGACTTGTTCTTGAATCTGAATTCAGCACTAATATCAGTGATTCTTTCCTTAACACTTGTGTATCATATGAAAAAGAGCATGATGGGAAGCATATGTTTTACATTTTTTGTTAGCAAATGAAGATCACCAATTATCGTTCCACTTCTAAAATTTAATTTCCATTTTCTTGGTTTTAGTATCAACTTCAAAAGGTGTCATTGGCTGAAAATGATGCCTTTGCCTTTCTAAGGGCTGACAACAATGGCAACTATATAACTTATTCAGCTTTTTGTGAAGCACTTAGACAGGTACTCTTAATTCACTTCCTTGATATAATTAGTATAATGAGAGTGGTAAAATTCACACCATTTCTGTACCATCTGCAGGTAAATTTAACAGGTCGTTCTCATGGACTAAGTTTCCAGGAGACAAAAGATCTCTGGGTCCAAGCAGACATTGATGGAAATGGTGTTCTAGACCCTGAAGAATTTAAGGTGTGTTGCTGTAAATTTCAGTCATTTTACTAGTAGTAGGATGCCTTTGTGTTATAGCCTAAGCAACGTAAAATAAACCAAATTTGATACCCAAATATTCAGTTTGATACCCTGCTACTAATTCTTCCTCAGCCTATGGGCTACTTTGATGTACCATTTTCTAAACTTTAGGTGATCAAACAGAAATATGAGAGACAGCATAGATAATATGAGAAAGCACATTTGACATATGATAATATGAGAGGACACATGCCGTCTTGTCACTATATTAAGTTTTGGCAACATTATCTGATGTAACCTGAAATAGCTTTATAAGAGGACAGAACTGCATGGCCTGTTGTTAGAGTGCTGAACTCTTTAGTTTCAATGACCAAGTTCAAATCCTGGCAATCTCGAGCATAAAAAAAAAAAAAAGCTTTATGTCAATGTGGTATTTAAGCAACTTTTCTCCTGAAAACTGAATAAGATGAAAGAAATTTAGAATTCCATTCTGTATGCAAACAGCATTGAACAGTCATCATCACTTATCATGTTGCAAATCTTCATGTTTTAAGAATAAAACATTGAGTAATTGGTTGACATTGCTGCAGAGAATTTGGAACTCTACATGGTCAGAACATATGGATCAAGGTTGCAGCTTAGAGGACTCAAATGAAGGCATTGCAGAAGAAGCTATAGGTTTTGCAGTCAAGAATGCGGTTCTCTTCCCCCGTGAAGTCGAGAAGGGGATATGGCCCGAAAACTACTCCCTTTCCGATCATGCCCGGCTCACCGCCGTGTTCTCACCGGTGAGGTTACGGTGTTCGAAAAAACCGCATAGAACATTAGTTGATAGCAAAAAAGAGAAGACAAATTTTGTTACACATTGTAAAAAAAAATACCTAAAGTTCGGAAATGCATGTTTGTATAGTCCATTGAAAGTAGCTTCCTCACATCTGTTTAGCCATTTATGGCGGACGAGCCCAAAGAGAAGAAAATGAAAATTTCAATTTTGGTTAGGCAAGCAGATTTTTCATATTATCTGGCTTTATTTGAATCTATTTAGGTTTCAGTTTTTAAGCAGTAGAGCCTCTTTAATGGATTCCATATGTGATTGTCTTGTGACATTACATGCAACCACGACTCGTACGGGGCTGGCTTTCTAAGTTGGTTGGGCTCGGTTGGACCTGCAATAATAGTATGTAATAAAGCACCTGGCGAAGGATTGGGCCCCTACCATAAGGCGTGTAATGGATGTGATAATTTTAAATACGATATATAAAAATAACATAAAAATATATATAAGTTAAAATTTTATTCAAAATTATATATAAATCTAGTAAAAGTTAAGAAAATTTATGTTTATTTATGTTTGATCCGAATTTATAAAAAATTATTTTCTTCATAATTTTTAAATAGATTCAAACCCAGATAATAAAACAAAACAAACTTTTTTTTACCACTTAAATTAACCTTCCATTAGTGGATCATAAAAGGCATGCACAAATTCTTGATATAACTACTCTATCTCAAACAGTCATAATTCTCTTTAAATGATAAAGCTTGCTATATATAGTAGCTTACAATCTTAAAGATAAAGATATGTCAATGGAACTGGAATATATAAAAATTTAAAAGTAATAGTACAATTCCTTTTCTAATACCAATTTGGTGGGTGTAAACATTTTTATTTACATATAATTTAATAAATTATTTTTTCACTATATTTTAAGATTTGAACTCAATTAAAAGAAAAATACTCTATTTCCACTTGAGCAAAAATTTGTGATTAGAGATATAAATGAGCAGAATGTTTGATAAATAATTTGTAAATAGATTTGATTTTTATTTATTTATTAAATTTAATAAACAATCACGAATAATATTTTAAGATTTACTAATTAAAATAGTAAATTATGAATATAATAAAATTTGTTCATGTTTAATTAGTTTGTGTAAACAAATAAACTATTCGATAAATAGTTTGTGAATAGATTGAATTTTTATTTATTTATTAAGTTTAATAAATAATTATAAATAATATTTAATAATTTATTTTAAATAAATAAATTATGAATATAATAAAATTTTATTTTTAATAAAAAAATTTTGTAAAATGGAAAATGAACATTTTTGCATGTCCTATGTTATAATCAAAGTTAGAAATGGCATTAAATGCACATAATCAACACCCAAATGAGAGTTTATGCATTTCAGGCCTCCTGCACCAGCCTCAAAAGAAGGTAGGGAAAAAATCGTAAATTTAATAATTTAAAATATAATATAATGATATGATATGAAATAATATGAATAAAGAATATAAAAATAATATAATTTAAAATCTTAAAAAATTATAAATATAATTAATAAAATTAAAAAATTATATTTTATATTTATATGTTAATACGATAAATAATTTTTATATAAAATAAGAAATAAATATAATATTTTACGAATTATCAAATTTTTTAAAAGAAATACAGTGAACCAGATAAGAAAGATGATTTTTTTTTTTTTACTGTCTTCGTATCTGGCACATGTGGTTTCTTTTATCAACATCAATTATGCCTATTAAACCTAGCCTATGTATAACTCTCTTTATAGGGTGTGGTGGACTTCAATTTCAATGACTTTTTTTTTTTCTCCTTTTGAGCATAGCTAGGAATCTTGAGATTGAAATTAATGAATCTTTTTTAACCTTAATTCTACCCATCTTGCTCTCATTTTTTTTTTTGTTTGTATTAAACCAATATAATAATATTACCCTATGCTTTAATCTTTATGTAAAATCTTTCCAATATCTATGGCTTTAACCTTTATTAGTATTAGACATCTAGGCTGTTAACTTTTTTCACTTTATTAAAGCATCATCCAGATATGAATTTAAAATTTAATCTAATTAATTTATGGATTTATTTTAAAAGATTGCATACAATTAGTTTCAAATTTAAATTTAAATTTTTGTAATTTTTTTCATCTTTAGAATGTGGCATTTAGCAATTTACTTGTATTTAGATTTTATAATTTTAAATATAATATAAAAATAATACAAAAAAATAGATGTGATGGGTTAAAATTTTAACAAAAAATAATATATGAATTTAATAAAAATAAAAAAATTTGAAGTGTAATATGTATTTTCGTATAAAATATGATACAAGTATTCGAATTATCAAATTTATTTTTAATTGATAGTTCATGTAATTATTTTTAATGGATAGCATTAAGTAGATTTAGAGTTTAAATTTTAATATCTGCAATTTATTTTTCAATTTATAATATAATCATCTTTATAAAAAAATAGGGCATCCATAAATTTGCTTTGTTTCTATCATTATAGGTCTTCTAGATGGTTATCTATAAGGATAATGAGTTAATAGTTTTTCACTTCATTTTGAAAGGATGCTTATATTCTTAAACTTAACTGATAAACTTCAATGAAATAGCATCTCACCATGCATATATGGTACTTTACCAGTGCCTTGCAAGTGAATAATACAGTGGCAAAAGAACATTTTAAAAGAAGCTTACCAGGAATCAACTTCTGCCATTAAAAGGGACCCCTCAAGCTCTCCCTTTTTGTTTTATCTTTCCTTGGAATGGAACTAGAATCTTCAAACACAGAACGAAGGGACGGAAATATTGAAGTCTCTTTGTGTTGAGCTTTTTTATTTTATCAATTATCAGGTAAGTCTTGATGTAATATTGCAATTGTTATATATCTAGAAATCAGCCTAATGTAATCTGTTTTCTTTTGGGTAGAAAATGCCATAAGGCTCTGATCTGTCAAGCACATTCTATTTGTTTGCTTAATGCGGTGCAGCTGTGCCTCATGTATAGATGTATCTAGTTTGAGATTGGTGCAATGTAAGGGAAGACTGAAGAGTGGACAAGCATTGTTATACTTTGGTCGTCCGTCAACACTTTAACTATCAAGTTAACAACTGCTCACTGCCAAATTGGTGATTGATTCAACACTTGACTAACATTAAATAAGCCAATTAACCATATCAACACAAATTATGTATAAAATGTAAGATCGGACCACGGGTAATTCATTCTTGACCTTAAACTTGTTTCCTACTTTTTCTACCTACTCACTGTCCGTACTTCTTCTTTCCCTCTCTCTGATACATTGCTGATTTCAGCATTGAAGCGCGTCTCGAAAAACTACCTCCGATGCCCCTAACCATTCTCTTTGTGACAGATCATCTTTGATATCCGAGGTCAGTTGTTCATTCAGCCTTAAGGCAAGCATCATATAACCTCATCAGAAAATACATCAACTATACAAAACAATAATTACTATTTTAAGTCCATTAATATTTGGAAACTAATTGCCTAATCAAATGGAAGTTTGTTTCCTTTCTAGGAAGACATGTCTAGGAAGACAGATATGTCTCCATATGTGTCTGTTCATAGTTCCTAATCTGCCACTATAAATGCATATGCATAGTAATTTACATCTTTTCTTTAATTCTCAAACTAATGAAACCATAAATAGAAACCAAAATATCCACCATGTCTAGGGCCTCAGCAAAAACTATATTAGATTACAACATTTAATGACAATTATATTCTCAATATTTCATCATTGTGCAATTAAAATATTTATGCTTCCTTAAGTAGAAAACCATGCGCAGCAATGAGAATGCAAATACAGCATATAATCAAGGTGATTTGTTTCTGTTATTTTTGGTTTCTTATGGTTTTTTTATACTTGAAGTTATCTGAATTTGAATCCTGATCACTGAAATTAAGAGTTCGGTATTTTACTAACAGTTCATACTACTATTGGCCTTATAGTTGAAATGATCTCCAGCATAAATCAATCCAAAAGCTTTTATTTTCTCTGCTGTCTTGCATATTAGAGAATTTCTAAGGGGTAATAATATCTTATAAAATCATGCATATAAATTTCCAGCATTCAATGTCTGTACTGTCAAGATAAAGATCGTCAATTCTATACATCCTAATTTCTTAGATGCAGATGTCAAATCCCAGAAATATAGATTTATGTGGTAACAAACTATGACTAGAACAAGCATGAAATCAAGTCCATGCATGATTTAGAATCTCAAAACATCAGAATAAGACATGCAATAAAATAGATCAAAATTATATTGAATGACGTGAAAGATATGCATTTGCTGCATAGATACTTCAAAAACCTGTCAAACTACTCATTAAGGCTAAGGCAACCATCAATACTTTTGAACCCTAAACTTAGTTCAATTGGTTCATGTAACCACTTTTAGGAGATGTCATATAGCAAGTCTAAAGTTCAAATATCAGAACGTGCAATCCCTTTCTCCTTATCTCTTTTGAATAAAAATATCATTAATACTTCTAATAGAGCAGGGACCATATATACACAGATGCCCTTAACATAGCTAGAGAAAGCAATATATTATTATTATATAACATCAAACTGGAAATGCATTTCGCTTATCAGGTGTTATATATATGTATTTAGTTATGAATGCAACTCAACTAAACAGGAAGGAAAAGAGTGAATTCAGTGCATTTTAGTGCTTTACTACTATTTTAGTCGATTTCGAAGCCGAGTCACTCAATAACCAGAAGTGAAAATAATTGAGTGAGAATGTTACTATCAATATTACCAATTCAGCATGCATACCAAGAAAATCAGATCTTCTTCAAGTGCTACTACTGGATTTGAATACTTATAAATTGCTGATATAACCATCCTAAATGTGTTTATTATTCGTTGAATCAAACATTGTTTCATTTCATGTCATTTGAGAAGATATATTTGATGTCAAAGTACTAGGTTGATTAATTTTCCTACTGACCTGGACTACCTGGCTTTTGCACATCATTATTTTCTAGTTCCCATTTTGGGGATTAATATTGCTATTATATAGTAAAAATTAGACCTGATAATTTTAAATATAACATAATAATATGATATGAAAATAATATAAAAAATACAAAAATAATACGAAAATGATAAAAAAAAACATGAAAATTATACGATTTAAAATTTTAACAAAATATATATATGTTTGACAAAAAAAGGTTTTTATATTTTAAGCATCGAATTGTAATATAAAATGAAACTTTAACCAATAATTTAACTAATACATAAAGACTCGTTAGGCTGTATTAATGGTGCTTTAATTGAAACTTTATCAATACTTATTAGAGGCACTGACAAAGTTTGATGCAAATATATAAAATTCATAAAAGAAAATCTAACAAAGTTCTCTGAGTTCTTACACAATATAGGGTGAAAGTCCAGTCTGA